CAGAACCCACTCGAACGTAGCAAAAACATCAGCAACCAACAAATATTCGTGTTAATAAAACTTTAAAATTATTAAAAGAGTGCAACAAGTGTTGAAGAGAGCAGATCTTTATCGAATTGCGCGTGACTACGTTAAAGTGCTAGTGTCAGTGAGCGTGAGAGTGAGATAGTGCTAGTGAGAGTGAGTGCAAGCTTGAGGATCTGAAGCTATGTCCGCTTCTACTCGTAATAAACACTCAAAGATCCATGGTAATGAAAAATTGGATATTTCCAATGATGAGTTTGACCGCATTCGTGACGCTTTAAAGAACGAGGAGTTTCGTAAGTTGTTCTTCGATTACGTGGACGAAATCCAGGATCCGGAGAATCGTAAAATCTACGAGGAGGAGATAACACAACTGGAAAAGGAGCGTGGCGTTGATGTCACCTTTATACATCCCCAGCCGGGCTTTGTGATTAAAACATCAATTGATGGCGAGCTGAAATGTTTCATTAACATTGCAAGCTGCAAGGTTGTCGAGCGGCCCAACAATGAGGTTTCAGTTAATTCCCAAACTGGCCAAAAGGGTCTCAGCTGGTCCATTCCATTGGCCCAGATACCGCCACGCGACGATCTCGATGCCAATAACAAGCTTTGTAAAGTCTATGATGTTATCTTCCATCCGGATGCACTGCATTTGGCCAAGCGCAACGCGCAGTTCCGTCAATGCCTCATCGATACCGCTCTCGATGGCGTGGAGCGGGAATATCATGTAAATGTGGATCGTGCCAATCTCAAGTTTCCCAAGCTTGACTACAAGGGCATGGCGCGTCCCAGTGTGCTGCGTAAGCTATCGAACAATCCAACAGCCGAGGAGAAGGAACCGCATCCCTTGGAGCACATGTATCCAAAGAAGCCCGAAGCTGATGCCGGTCAATCTAAGGTCTTGCCAATGAAGACAAAGGTGACGGCCGTGCCGAAATTTGCAGTGCCCAAATACTGCATTAAGCACAGCCATGACGTGGATATGTCTGAATATACGGATGAGCTCGATGCCAAGCTGCAGGTTACAGTGCCACGTGCTCTGGTCGTTGAGATTGAATTGCCATTGCTTAACTCCACGGCCGATTGCCATCTAGATGTGACGGAAAAGTCGGTCTATCTGCTCAGCGAGAAGCAAGGGGCCAAATACAAACTGAAGGTGGATTTACCCTACACTGTGAATGATAAGGCTGGCAATGCACGCTTCGACACGGATCACAGATGTCTACGTATCACATTGCCCGTGGTGCGTTCCACGCCTCGTGAAGAGCGCAACCTTCACGATACTGTGCGAAATCTCAGCCGCGAGGACAGCGGTGTCGAGCTCAACTCGAATGTCGGGTCGCCAGTTGAGGATAAGGAACTTATTGTTGAGCTAAGTGAGCACAATCAAGAAAATGATTCCAATGCATGTAAGTAAACTAAATATATACTATATAGATCTGTTTTAAATTGCTTTGCTTCGCTTTGATTTGTTTATTTAGTCCCACCCACTGCCGTTGTTTCGCCTCGCTCATTCCTTAAGAGTAATCTGCATTATCAGCTGCCCGCCCAATTTAATTGCAATATTTTGGACAATGTGATTGTCTTCGTGTTGCACGTGACGAATGTGCAACCGGACTCGGTGCAGACACTGCAGCAGGCACGCAGCCTGCACTTGCAATTTGCCTCCATGGGCACTGGCTACTATCCCACCCACTATGCGTTCCTAATGCAGCTGCCCGATGGGGTGCAGCCAGAGCTGCGTATCGATCATGTCGAAGTTGATACTGGCGATGAGAATGTGGTCTTGCGGCTGACTATGAATGAGCACTGCATGTTGCTGCCTAACTATCTGGCTGGACCCGATAGCAATGATCTCAAGGAATATCCTGTGTTTGGTCACCAAAATAACAATAATGATCAAGAAACTGAGGTTAAGGTTGCTGAGATTGAGAAATGCGACTTAGTGTCGGAGAAATCACTACAGATTAACATGGATCACAATGATGTGGAGCACGCACTGGAAGTGACAATTGAGCCGCAACAGAATGAAGCTCCCTTAGACAGTCTAGAACTGCTGCATGAGCATCAGCAGGAGTTGCAACAGCTGCATCATCAGAAGAAGCTGAACAAGAAGCAGCGTAAGCGCAATAAGAAGCAACGCTCGCTCTCCGAGTCGGCCTGCGAGGATCTGAAATTGGCTCAAGAGCATCATGAGCAAGTGCAGCAGCAAGAGAAAGAGCAGCAGCAACAACAACAACTGAAATTGCAGGAACAGCAACAGCAGGCTGAGCTGCAATTGCAGCAACAACAAGAGCAAAAGGAGAAAGAGAAGATGGAAGATGGAAGATGGCTGGATGGATCCTCAGATTGCTTTACGAGCGTCTCTCAGCCAATGGATTTGCTCAAGCTGCCACATCGCAAGCAGCGCAGCTACTCCGAATGCAATGAGAGCAGCCTTGGTAGCAGCTGCGTGCAACGTGGCATCTTGAAGCGTTTCAGTCGCTACGGACCACATCCCTCGATCTCCGATAGCTGCTCATCCATTGATGATTGCTCCTCTACGTATTCGTGCTCAGTGGATGCGGCTGGCACTGGGTTCTCGCAATCGTTTGGCAGCATACCCGAGGAGCGAGGTGGCGACGAAGCAGGTCTGTCGGAGAGCTGCAAGAAGACTGTTAGATTTAATGATCACATCATGAAGCAAGTGTTCAGGTGCGTCTAAATATAAAATGCTTTCAATTGCGACCAATTTCCATTTAATTTAACAATTCGCATCTCTATTTTTAGGCTTGATTCGAGCATACTGGGCCAACGCAAGAAGAATCAAAAGCGACGCGATTGCAAATTGCGCGCCCAACAGCGTCGCCTCAGCGAGGGCGACTCGGTCGATTACGTGGAGGTGGACTCAGCACACGGCAACGGCATGCAGCCCGCCCACAAGGTAAACTTGTGATAGCAACTGATTGGCAACACCTTGTTAATTTCCCGATTTGAGGAGCTAATTGAATTAGTGCGGCGAATGCAAATATTGATTTTGATCTACAGCCAGTGCTAGTCCATAGTGTTAAATTATCTATTGTCTGGTCAGGAATTCGGAATTCCGAATAAGTAGTCTCTTACGTGTGTAAGCTAGTTAAATATTTAACATAAATTGCAAATTAATTCGCAACTAAATGCGATAATTTAAAGTAAAGCCGGGCATCAACCAGTTTGCAGCAGTCTTATTGCGATTCCAGTTAAATCCGCCCAGCTCTATTAGCTTAAGGTCAAAGTTCGGAATGATAAAGAAATATTTCAATTTACTTGCAAATCGCGTGGAATTTTTAAATGAATAGTTAAGTGAGTAATGATGATGTTTGAGTTAGTTAGGCATGATGAAGGGGGAATGCTAGTAAAGTGCTTATTTTAGAATAGATAATATCTCTGCTCTTTGTATTATTGGATAAATTAAATCATAGATTCTTATAATTAACTAATCCTTATCTCTTCTTCACCTTTCAGACCGCTGCCAATGCACAGTATTTCAAGCAACACAACAATAATCATCCCCATGTCAAGAATAACAAGAAGCAATCGCTGCACGATAGCGGACTCGACTTGACCAATGGTTCCATTAACAATAAAAACAATCACAGCAACGAAAACTCAAATAAACGCAATGAGGCTGATGCCAAGAATGCCATGATGTTTGAAATGGATGATGAGGAGGAGGAGGAGGCACAGGATGCTGCCAATATATAAAGCAGCTGAGCTCAAGCCACTCTTGATCAGCAAACTGTGCATGTGTTATTTTTCGAGGCAGGTTTTCCATGGAATTTTTGAAGCTACATTTATTAAACTAATTATATACAGCAACAATATAAATGTACTGTTATTATTACTATTTTTTTTAACGAAAGCTTTTTGATTGTAAATGTGGTGAACATTGTTTATCAGAAAACAGGCGCTCAATTTAATAACCATATACAATTGCGAATTGTTTAGGTACATATATTTATAATAATAATAATAATGAATTATAAATCAGGGCAAACAAGAAAATCAAAATGATAAAAGGAATATATAAATTCACCTACGTGTACATGGTTATATACATGCATAAATATAATTGTTATTTAATTTGGTTAAAACCGAAATTGGAAACAAATTGTTAAATTACAAAGTTCTCGTAATACTATTTTTTAGCTCATATAAACACACGCATTACCATCTGAATATACACAAGCTCCTCACGCATACATATATATGTGTACAAATTTAATTAACAAGAAATCTCCCTTAAAATTAGTTTAAGCAAATGCAAATTACAAATGGCAACTAAACAATATCAATAGTTAACAGTGCATATATGCAATACATACACAAACACACATACACACACAAGCATTCATAGTGTATAAGCTATTTACATATACCATATACTGGCTGCCGGTACTAAATGTACGTGTAGTATTTTAACTTTTTTAAACAGCCGCAAGTTAAATATACAACAACAAATATAAATAGTTTGTGTATGTAAATATTTTGGGGGACGTAGAAGTGCGCAATGTCCACATTTTTATATCAACTTTTTACTCTGTTTCGACTTTTGCCTTAAAAGTTTACCTCACCAAAATCGAAGCTGTTTTGCCTAAGATCTGACTCTTCACGCTGCCCTTTAACATGAGCTTGTCTGTTAATTAGCAGCAGCTGCTTAGCAGTAACATCAGCTTGGCTTAGCAACGGCTTAACAGCTGCTAATGGCGGCCACGTAAGTACGCAATGAAATTTGTATTCGATTGTCTTGCTGCAATTTCTGTTCGCCTGGTACTTTAGTCGAATTTTCGTTCGAATCTAGCGAACCAGCAGACGAACTGGAATTTTTGGGCCGTTAAATTTTGAAAGCGAAGTAAATGGCGATTATGCTCATTGAAAAACGATTTATATTAAAATTCTTTTTTAACAATTTATTTTCATGCATGTATAATACAAGTATAATACTACTTTTAGCAACAAAAACTCAACAGAATATATACATAATTACAAAGTTAACTTAAGCTATTTAAAACGCTCCTCCAGCTGTTTACGTATAAATGGCACCTGCTGCAGCTCTCGACGTTTCACTTCCAGCACATAGAGCACCGGACAATCTAGTGAGCCGCACTGCAGATCACCCACTCTGCCACAACAGGCCTGGCATATCTGCTGCGTCAGTCTGTAGCCACGGTCCAGCTGCGCCAGCTTCGCCTGGAGCGTGACAATGCACTTGGTCGGCATGCGCGCACACTCCGAACAGATGCCCTCTTTGGTCTGGCGGCCGCACTCGATGATGCAGTTGGTCGTTGAGAAGTATTGGGATATGGTGGACTTGGCATTGCCGCGATTCAACAGCTCACCAGCTGCCGACAGGGCGGGTGTCATCAGCAGTTTCCGTGGCAAGTTGCTGAACCTGTGAAGGATTTTGAGCAGTTGAAGATTATGTTCCAGGAGTGCAGCTCATTCAATTACCAGTCATTCACATCGGCTCCTATGAGCAGCAGGCAACGATTCAGTGGAGGTATAATGGCCTTGGTTATATAGTAAATCGCGTTGATTTTGTAGCCCTCGTTGGCCAGTATCTCGTGTGGATGACGCACCAGACGTATGAGCTGCACACCCGGCGGACCATTGATGATGCAGAAGGGCACACGTTCGCCACGGCGTGGCACGCGTCGAGGATCCTTTAGCATCCATTTGCTAAAAGCGTAGAAAAGGAGATATTGGGTAAATATATATTTTAGATCTCTCATTCGTTGTCTTACCGCGTCAGCTCCAGTGCCGGCACACAAGCGGTGGGCTTATAGCCATTTAGACCTCGAAACTCCTTGGCAAAGATCAAATCCTGCAGATTGGCACGACCGGAGAGTAGCTTGGTGAATTGCCGGCACACGTACTGTTTGATTTGACTGACGTCCGCCGTTTCGAAGAGCAGCCGCAGCACCTTCTCCAGCATTTTGGCCACGGCTGGACAGCCGTCTCGCCGCACCGTTTCAATGCCTTTCGCCTCGTAGACGGGCTGCTCTTGCTCGGGCGTCTCATACATGTAGCCCACATAGCGCTTCTTCGTCTGCAGCAGGCACGGCTGATAGACCTTCTCCAGCTTCAGCTTAACCGGTTGGGGATTTATTTCGGTTACTGCTTCTGCGATTTCCTCGCCTATGCGAAAGGCCTCAGCTCGATTGCGTCCGGGCACGAGAACGAACATGGAATCCGTATCGCCATACACAACACGCACGTTCCACTTCTCGTTCGTCTCCACCAATTTCATGGCACGCTCCAAGGTCTCTCGGCCCTTGGACACTACCGAATCGCCCACCTCGACGGCGGGCATGCGCCCACTGAAATTGGCCGCCGTATAGCCATAGGTGACGTTTGCCATCAGCTTCAGGCCCAACTGTCGGGAGTGCAGCACACGCTGCAATGCGGAGCTGTCACGATGCAGCTTCATCGATTGCTTCACCATGAGACGCGTGTCCAGAATCTCGCTCAGCATGCGCGGCAAGATGCCCTCGCGCACCTCCCGCTTAACGAAGACCACGCCACACGGCGAAATGGTAACCAGATCCCGTTCGAGGAGCTGCTGCAGCAACTGCCGTGAGACACGCAACATCGAGGCACCAAATTCGAACGGGCTGCTGCTGCCCAGATGCTCCACACGGCCCAGGCACGTCGAGAAACAATAGTTGTAGGCGATAATCATACTAGGATACAGACTCTGAAAGTCCAGCACAATGAGCGGATCAGCATAGAATCGAGACTCCGGCTCCATAATGAGTGCCAAATACTCGGGGGCACGCATGTGGGCGCGCTGCTGCACACTGGGCGAAAGCGGCACCAAATTCTTTGGCTTGGCAATGCTATAAATGCAGATGGGAATCGATATTAATCTTTATAGAGTTAAAGGCAATCTCGCACCCACCGCAACATCATGCTCTCCACCCGAAACTGCGAGCCACGCGAGAGCACCTCGTAGAACTGTATGCCAATCAATTTGGCCATCTCACTCGTGCGGCCCAGCAGATCCAGCTGGTCGAGCAGCGCCAAGGTGCCCCTCACCCGCTCCAAATAGTACTCCAGCACAATCCAGCGGGTGCAGGGCGAGGCGAACCAATCGCTCAGGGCACGCGGACTGTGCCAGGGACAACGCTTGTGCAGGATGTGATACATCACGTTCTCAAAGCTGTACGAGGTGAGCGCTATCTCGGAGCGCATTAGACGCCAAACATCTAAGAGAATCCGGCCACAGAGCTTCATCTCCACATCGAGATCTGTAAACGATTCGCGGTCTTCGTCCACAAAGTCGCGCACCTTCTGCGTGGGCACACGCGACAGCAGTGGCGCAATATTGAAGCACAAATGTTTGGCACGCTCAATCACATAGCCCCAGGAGCTCATTTCGATCTCGTAGCCGGCATAGATGTCCGCATCCCAGCGTGTGCAGAGCGCCAGCAGCGCTTCAAATGCCTGTGCCTCGCTCTGCACCACCTGCAGCTCAATGTCCGCATCGAGGCCATGATGACGTCCCTCACTTAAGATGTCCTGAGCATCGCTGACAATAATATAGCCGCACGCTTTGCTCGGCAGCGACTGTGACTGCTCCGGCAAACTGTGCTCGATGGCGTAGAACAGGCAGCGTATCTCATCGTGCTGCGGATCCGGCAGCAGTTCACCACGCGTCGGCACAAACAGCTCCAGTGTCATGGTGGTCAAATAGTTGCACTATGGGAATATAGATCAAATATTAAAAAGCTGTCCAGTTTGGTATTATATCGATTCACCCACCTCTATGTCCGCTTTGGCTTGCTGCAGGTTCTCCAGATTTACCTTGAAGCCAAAGGTATTGTCCAGCGTGGCATTGGTGAGACCGAAGCTCAGCTCATGACTGTTGCGTCCGCTGCTGATGCTCCTAACGAATGAGCTGCGTTCCAGTGCCTCCAGGGCAGCATTGCTGCTCACGCTCTTCTCGCTCGATTGACTGCTGCTCGGCTCCTCCTCCTGTGCGGCTCCAAACTGAAGTTTTGTGGCACGCTTGGAGCGCATCTTGCTGCTTAGTGGCGTGCCCTTGGCCTGCGTCTTGGCTGCGCCACTGTGCTGTGGCGTCTGTGACATGGGCGTCAGCGTTAGCCCACTACAATTTAGGTCGCCATCCTCATCACCACTGGCTCCATCCCCAGCATCAACTTCATTTAGCATCATGGTTATTTTCTGACGCTTGATTTTGATGGGGCTGTCCACATCATTGCCCGCAGGCCGCAGCTCCTCCTTCTCGCCTTGACGCTGCTTGTGCAGTTCCCTTGCCTTCAGCCACAGCTTGGCATCCTGCCTGCTGGGCGGACTCATTGCGGGCTCCATGATCAGCCGCTGTTCGCTGCTGAAGTACTCACGCACCTGCTGCTCATTGCGATAGCGCTGCAATATGGCCGGTCCTCCAATCGACACCAGCTGCCTCCTTCGCCAGGCATACAGACCTTGATTGCTGCGCAGAACGCTGCTTTCAAAGGGCTCCAGATCATTGAGCTTGTTGCCCGGTATGCGCAGCACCAAAAAGCCCACCTCGGTCATTTTGTTAACATCCGCAGGATTGCTATAGAAGGGCTGCTGGAACACATACTCGGGTATATCCAATTTGCGGCAGCTGTGCAACACCTCCTCATAGCTGGGCGGCAGCTCCAAGGGAGTTATCACAAATGCGTTGGGATCTGCCGGGTTTGTTGAAGTTTCATTGGCCTTGGCCTCCAGCTTAATTTGTGCCGACGACTGTGGACTGTCGATGTCATCGCTGAATACGGATGGGCTGTTTATGATCAACGAGTGCTCGTAGAAACTCTTCATCAGCTCGGGCGTATTGTTATCTGTACTTCGTGGACTACATTCTGGAGTGTCAACGGCTTCCCTTGCCGTTTCATCTGCTGCGCCAACTTTTAAAGCTTGTTTAGGAGTCACAGGTGTTGATAATTGACTTAATGTATTCATCGATCTCACTGGCATTGGACTTGCCAAGATTTGACTTTTAGCACTTGAGCCTGCAGCTCGACTACTGCTACTCTCCGGCGCTGGACTTGCTCCTTCTGGCATTGGACTTGCTACAATTTGACCCAGTGGAGTCTCTCGAATTCGACGAGAACTGGATGCAGCTCGACTCCTAGACCTTTCTGGCGTTGTACTTGCTGTAGCTGGACTGCTAGAGCTATCTGGCATTGGATTTGACAAAGTCTGACTTGATGCCTTTTGATTCTCTGGCATGGAACTCGATGCAGCTGGACTCTTAGAACTCTTTGGCGTTGGACTTGATGCTTGATTCTTTGTATTCGCTGGTGTTGGACTTGTTGCAGTTCGACACAGTGGCGTCTCTGCAGCTGCACTGACTCTAGTATGAATCCTTACATTTTGAGCCATTGGACTTTCCGGACTTTTACTCCTTCCACTCTCTGGTGTGTCTGATGACTGACAGTTTGTTATTTTACTCTGCGGTGTCACTCGTTTGGCCAGCAATGATTCGCGAAAACTCCTTCGTAATCGTCTTAGATTGGGTCTGGCCACAGATCTGTCGCTCTCCGTATCAGATACAATAGCCTCATCATCGCTAGTGGCAGCAGGAGAGTCTGCAACCGGGCTAATCTTTTTCAAATTGATTTTTGCCTTAGGAGTCGTTTGATCCTCTTCAGCTTGTTTAGCTTGCTTGCGTCTACTGCGACGTGGTTGCTTCTGCTCCATCAGTGATTCCTCTGTTGCAAAGACTTCAGAAATGCGTGTGCTTTTCTGGCGCGGCGTCAGATAGCACGTAATGTGCGTTTTGTCCAAATTACGAGTGCTGCGGCGCGTGCTGCGACGTGGAGGAGTTCTGAGAACATAAAGAACTAAATATATAAAGGAGCTTTACAGAGAAGACTAAGTTAACATACGAATCATCCCGTTGAGCTTTCAGTTCTACGAAAGAGTCTGCTGAAATGGTCTTTCGGCGCAGCTCGGACATGGCCACCTTCTTGCGCAGCGATATAGCTGGACTATATGTGAAGAATATGGAATTATCAGTAGGGGTTAAATATTCCTGACATGTGATTATACCTCTGGACGTTCGACTCAAGCTGCTGGCTCAAACGCTTCTTGATGGCACTGCTCGCTGGCACTGGCACAACAGCTGCTGCCTCCTTCTCCTGCTCCTGTTCTGCAAGTGAATAAGAGTTTTAGACTGAGGGAGTATTAATCTCTAAGATGCCCACACCTACTCTGTGCAGATCTGCTCGTTATAGTCAAAGGTAACGGTGCATATTTCTTGGCCACACTAGACTTGGGCGTGCGTGGCTGCTGCCTGCTTATGCGACCCTTGGGCGTGGTCGGTGTGCGTGGTGGAGTCCGTTGTTGTGTTCTACTCTTAACTTTAGTCGGCGTCCGCTGCAGCTGATCGTCGGCCCCATCGATTTGCGGCATTTCACGCTCCTGACTGGTCGCTGGGCCAGGCACACTCTGACTCTGGCTGAGCTTAAGCAGCAGCTCATCGATGTCATCCAAAGCAACGGAAAAGTCATGCGCATTGCCAGCTGCGTTATCTTCATCCGAGTTGTCGCTCTCGTCTTCGGACAGTGGCTGCTGTGTGGCTGCTGCAGCTGTTTGTTTGTCCAGCAACTCCGGCGTTAGCTCGACTGAAAAATCAGTTAGAAATCAATGAAAACTCTTATTTATAAAACTTAATTTATGTATGGCTTTACACTGTTTGTGCTGTTGCGAGAGCGGCGCTAGTGAACTGTCCAAATCGATGTGCGATTCATTTGCATTCTCCTCCTCCAGTTGTTGCAGGACGTCCAACAGCTCCAAATCCTCTTCCCGCACTGAATTTAAATTGTAATTAGTTATATTATATATTGTTATATATTTTATATAAGCTCACATGTAGCATCATGTGGCACTGGACCATTGGCTTGTTGCTGCAGTTCCTCATCCACTAACGTATCATCCAGAAAGGCAGCATCATCCTCATTCTCGACGTCCTGCCCTAGACTGGGCACACTTCCGCTGCCCGATAGATGATTTTGTATAGTTGAAGCATTGATCAACTGGTCTTGGGCCTCCTGACTGCATTCCTCGGGATAAACGGCATTGACCAAAAGCTTATGCAAATTGAATTGACGACGCTGCTCCTTGGCGCTGGTCTGTAGCGTGATATTTATATTGCTGATCTGTGTTTGATCGGCCAGAGTTTGCTCGCCGCTGACTGTTTGGTCCAAGGACAGCAACTTGCTCTCCAGAGCAGCACGATAAAAGTTATGGCTCTCTGCTATTTCCACATGCGGACGTTCCTGCGTGGGCGGCACTTGCAGCACAGGCAGCTGCAATTTAAGCACATTTATAAGTTTTAAGAGGGATTGGCAAGAGTGTAATTTCAACAGCTACCGCATTTAGTTTCTGGCTATCTCCTCCATAGCTCTCAGCCAGCTTTTGTCTGCGCACAAGCTCATCGTGCCAGATGGCCTCAATGCCGGGATTCGTGTGCGTTGAATTCGTTTTGGTAACCAACTGAAAACGATTCAGTATAAAGTTTGAACTGATATCTACTTCTAAAGCACTGCAGGCGACTTTTTTGACAGAGCTGGGATCCAGGAGCTGCTGGGGCTTCACATTCGCATAGGCCACAACTGCAAGGGAAGCGGAAAGGAGTAAGAATTCTGGCTAAATGAATTATTTATAATCTTATACCATCTTCCTCTGTTTGCCGACGAAATTTGACAACCTCAAGCGGCACATGCAAGTAACTCATGCCATACAAATTGTAATCGATCATGAATTGTAGAATGTAGGGTACATGCGATTCGTGTGGATTGAAATTTCGGCTCAATATTGCGCCGCTTTGCAATAAATTAGCAGCGCGTCTCACAAAGCGGGGATTGAACATGAAAATCTTGAAAAACTGATGCTCCGCGCGATGGTAGCCATAGAAGGGACTATAACAGAGTAGAAGAAATCGTATCCATAATATAATAATTATATATTATTTATTAAACTCACATTCCCTTAACCAATTGTATTTTAAAAACATGCTGCGCATTGGAGCTGCCCTGTCCCAGGGATATATTGATGGCCTTGTCCAAATGCATCGCTATTTGCAATATGCCCCGTTCCACAGTTTCAAAGTCCCGCTTATCGTAGGGTATGTAAAAGTAGGGAAACACACCATGCACATGCATGCAACATTTCTGGCCATTGGCATTCGCGCCAAATACGCGCACAATGGGCACCTATCAAAGAATATATATATATATACAATTAATACTGTCATAAATTGGGAGCAGTTTACTTGTATTTACGCGCTTAATTTCCTTGCCGCGCAGCTCCGAGTAACACGGATCGAGACCAAACACCGGCTTTTCCATATAAAAATCGGCAATCACCAGCCGCACCGAATAAATGCCGTCCATGTCCGACATTTTTTATTCGTCTTTCAGCATATATGCCGGCGGAAATCATTAAAACTGCAGCAACTCACTCAAATTAAGCCCACTTGTTTACTCTTAATGCTTAGAAATTTCAGGGCTGGAATAACTTTATACGGCAACATTGTGAAATTCATTAACAGCACGAGATTGGCGCCAAACAATGATGTGTGCCAGGGCTGCACAAATCAGAGTCTGGCAGCGCCGTCAAAATGAATTCGTAATTCGATACTTATCGAAACGTGATTAATGACTTTTAAGTGCTTGACGAAGCTTTTAGTCGTTACATAATGAATAACATAATTTGAATTAGGGCGCGAATATCTATTTTATATTGAGAGTCTGATTCCCGTAGTAAGCTAAAGCAAAGCAAAATGTTTGAAAATGAAGACGACCAATATTTAATCTCTAATTAAATTAAGTCATACTACATTTAATGAGCAAACACTTGTGACACTGTCAATAAACCCTTACACAATGACCCTGTGTAGGCTATTGACCATTTTTTGTTATCTGGTATCCCATAATTATTCAAGAGAAATTGTCACCTAAAAGTCCCCTTGTACGTGACCGTTTGTATACTTAAGAGGGCTACACAGATTCAACTACCCAATGGGAATCCCAAGAGAATTCCGAAACAGAGCACTGCTCTCCGCAAAGGCAATGCGTGGCTGTATATAATCTGGTTGCACAATCAGTTGAGCCAAATCAGTCGCACTGAACAGTCCAAGCAGCCAACAACATTTGCAATGAAGTCTATCGTGTTCTTAACTTTGCTCGTTGTCGTGACTATGGCAATAGCTCAACCTGTGGTCAAGGAGACATTTGAGGTAAAGGAGAAAGCCGTTAGCCTAGCTGACTTGGAGGAGGAGCAGCCTGCAGCACCTGTTGACCATCAACGCTATAAGCGTGCCACCTGCGATCTGCTCAGCTTCTTGAATGTGAGCCATGCTGCCTGCACGGCACACTGCTTACTCAAGCGCTTCAAGGGCGGCTATTGCAATAGCAAAGCAGTTTGCGTTTGTCGCAATTGAATTGTTAAGCTCTACCCAAATAAATGATTAATCAATAAATTAAACGAGCATGATTTTATATAGTAGTATTCACGATGTTTTTGACTCCTTTACATTGTTTAGTTTTGGCGATATTTTATATAGCATATATATCTATATTTTCATAGAGATTCTTTGCATTTCGTTATATAATTTATTATGTTGCTCTTATTTAATTTTACAAACTACATTTAACATAAAATTCTTTTCATGTTTGTATTATAAAATCTCTCTGATATGATTTTAATACACCGTCACATATGTATATAATAAGTAAGAACGGGCACTACCGACTGCAGAATACTTATTCACTGTTAAAATGCTAACAGATCAATTATCTGACTATTTTCGTCCCTAGTTGACTTACATATGTAGATGAGTCAAACTAAGTGTAAGAGTATAGACCATATAGATTCTTTCGATTCGACACATATGTTAGTTAGTTTTTCCGAAACTAGAGCGAATTCTATTGTAATTTCTTACAAGTATTTCAGAAAGACGTTTTCTAATCGTTCTTCATACAAATCTCAATTTCGCAAAAAGTAAACATTCGAACATTTCGCGGGAATGCGACGACATGTTTAACTCTCTAGCACAAAAATTCATTTTCGTAGAACACCTGTTCAAATTGTCTTTGCGATATTTGACGCATTAAAGCTAAACGGTTGCAGAAGCAATGAAGAATATCACGTGGCTGCTTTTGATTATCCCTCTGGCAATGGCAACAGCTCCAACTACTACTACTACTACTACGGCTACTACTACTTCTACTACTACTACTGCAGCAGCTCCTTTGAAGGTGGTACAAACTGACAATCAATCCCGTAGGACTTGCAATTGGATGAACTTCAAGTATGTAAAGAGCAAGGCCTGCCGTGCTTACTGCAGAGCCCGTGGGTTTGAGACCGGACATTGTACGGGCAAAGAGACTTGCACCTGTAGCATGTAAAATATGGAGATGTACTTAAATAAGTTCTTCCATCAATTTTAATATAACTTGATGTAATTGTTGTTAAAGGAATAAATCAAAAACAAAACATTTGTAAAATAATCAATGCAAAAATTTTCCTTAAATAACTGTAAAATATCAATTTTAAACACAAAATGCATTTTACGATTAGAGTAATGCGATCTGCAATCCCTACTGCAGGGAAAATAAGTACCGTGGCGGAAGATGCCATGGAAACTTTTGCGCTTGTTTTGAATAAAATGTTAAATTGTTGAATAATGACAAATTTCTAGATTTTTTTAATAAATTCAATGAACATACTTGCGTAGAGTTGATACAGTGTGTATAGTATAGTGTATATATGTACATATATTTTTTAAACATTTTCGTACTGCTTAACTGAAGAAAGAGACAGACAACTTATCATGCCCTCTGTCTATACAAAAAAGTAGGTATTTCGAGTACTAGAGACTTGTGCCTTGGCCCATGCACAAATATAATTTGTTATCATTAAATTCTAAAGGTTTCATATATGTAGATAGTCCACCTACAAGACGGCAACCCCTGGAAATCTTTTGTTATACCGGAAAATATGTTATCCGATTTACACGCGTTCAAATTGAATTTGGGATACTTAAAATGTTACGGTTACGTGGAGTATGTTTAGGGCAAAGCCCTGGGCGTATATAAGCCCGGTGGATAGTCCACCGGCTAACAACAACTAGTTAAATAACATAACTTGGTAATGCATTTAAAGAATTTTCATTAATTTTAAACGAGATATGGTAGATCAAGTTTTTTTTTCCGATTTGAAACGGTTCAATAGGATACATATATAGTCACAGATATCTGTGATATTGGACCCATAAATAAAATAATTTCTTGCAGTATATATGTATGTATATAAGTTTATTTATTGCTTCATCGAGCCGCCTTAACAAAGTTTATTTGCAAACAACAAAAAGCACCAAAAATTCCAATTGATGATTCATTCGCTTTTATATATTTTTTGGGCTCCGCTCTTTAAAAATTGTTAAATAAAAAAAATTAAATAAACAAAAAATTGATTAGTTTTAGCTAATAAACACTTGTGAAATGGCGATTGGTGCAAAAATTCATTCATTTTCTTTTGTTTGCTTAATTTTATAAAAATTTGTAACATGCATTTTGTTAATTCATTTAACTACAGTTGCGTTTCGTTTCATTTTGTGACGTATTCATTTCTGTAAGTTGAAGTATCAAATGTTGTTAATCAACCGTCATATGTATAATTATTCGATTTAATTATTATATATACATATACATACATATATGCATATATGTATAGTTTAATTTTATTTTTTATATACTAAGTTAACTTGGTTAGAATTAGTTAATGTATATTTGATGTATGCAATAAACATATCCATATTAAATATTATAATTGAGAAAAAATGTGTTAAATATATTATTATATTTTGTTGCGCTTTAAATGAATTTTGTATATATATTATTTTTATATATTTTTTATAATTGATTTTTTGTGAAATATATAATTTATTTTTTTGTATGAATGTAATAATAATTTTTTTTTCCTTCATTTATTATTATTCTCATGTAATTTTTTAAGTTATTTTGAAATATAAAATGATTTGAATTTCATATAAAATAATGTTTTATTAAATTTGGTTGAATACGCATACAACTATTTTTTCACTGAATTTTGTTTAAACAAATTTAAAACTTTTTTTTATATATTTTTTAAAGCTTATTTTAACATATAATTTTTATATAAAATTTTTTTTTTTTTTAAATAAAATTTATTTTATTTTTAAAATTTTTGTTTCATTGAATTTTGTCTGAAATAATTATTATATTTATTTTTATATATTGTTTAAAATGTATTTTGTCATATAAAATTTGTTTGATATTTGTTTCTTAAGTTTTTTATGAAATATTTTGTTTCCTTATTATTTTTGTATTTTAATTTTTATTATGTAACTTTGCATTGAATAATTTGTTATATATATATTTTTTTTAATTTTTTAGTAAAAAAGAGTTAAGAACATATAGCACAGATTTTTTGATTTTGTTGTTGTTGGTGTGTGAATTAAAAGCTCCATAAACTAGAGTTTTATAAAGAGTATATATAGATATATAATAATATATGGTAATATTAATATATGTATATATATTTTTAAAGAGGCTAGTAAAGTTTTGAATTTCATAATTTAGTTTTTTTTTTTTTTTGGCCAAATCACAGGAGAATTAGAAGTTTTAACAACAGAAGAGTCTAAGAGAGTTGTTAACAGATATATACTATATATAACATATATACTATATAGAGTATATCAAGCATACACTCGCACACACACACACACGCACACTCACACACATTATGTTAAATAAAAGTTGTTAGTTTAAAGCTTATGAACACACGAGATTTGCTTTTTGTGCTTGACCAAGTTTTGTTTCTCTTGTTTCTTGTTCTGGTTTTTAGGCCTCTCATTTTGTTAATTTGTGTATAAAGATTGTATATTTAATTTTGATTCAATATTATAAAAAGAGCATAATTATATATTTAAAAAAAAAACGCTCAACATGTTTGCTTTATTTATGTTTTTGTTTCAATTCTTTCTTCTTCTTCATCACTTTTGTTTTTGTATAATAAATTATGTCTATATATATATATATTTTAGAAATATGTAAGTAGGAGGCGCACATTATATATTACTCTTTCTCTCTATCTCTCCCTCTTTCTCTGTTTTCCTTTTTCTTTTCCTTTTCTTTGACTTTACTTTACGACTTAGAAATACAACTTTTAAAAAATTGTTTTGTTTTTCTTTTAGAAAATGTGATATTAATTATTGAAAACAAATATTAACTAAATTGCAAACAAAAACAAGAGTAAAATATATATATATATCAAAAAATAAATAGTAACTAGTGAAAAAGGTATTCATATATATATATATATATATCAAATATATGCATATAAAGGTAAAAGGTAAACCTAAACGCATTCAGCATTCAGCTTCCGCTGCATCTTTGCCTCCTTCGCCTCTTAAACGTCTACAACCATCTTCTTGTGTATATCCGTATTGCCCACAACCGAACAGAATTCATCGAACGATATCTTGCCATCCTCATCCTTGTCCGCAAAGCCGATTGTCTTGTCCACAATCTGCTGCAGTTGCGTGTCTTTCAAATTGTTGCCAACCATCATTTTGAGTACCTGTTGAAAATATGATATAGATCAATAAATATCCCATCTGCCGCCGCTCTCATCTCATTCTCACTCACCTGAAACAGTTCACCGTTGGATATATAGCCATCATTGTCCATGTCATAGATGCGAAAGGCGAAGCGCAGCTTCGACAATTTATCACCCTTCACGCTGAACTGGGAGACGCCTTGGATAAACTCCTTGAAGTCCACCTCGCCATTGCCATCCGCATCGAAAATGTCAATGACGCGCTGCACGAGCGGATTCTGTTGCAGTTCCGGCAGCGACATGAACTCATCCACGCTCAATGCGCCCGAATTGTCCAAATCCAATTTGCGGAAACGTTTGCCCAAACGACGAATCTCATCTGCATCGACTGAGAGCACAGAGAGAGAGAGACAAAGCGAGAGAGATGAGAGTTAGTATTAGTTACATATGGAAACAGTTTCCTCAAGGCAGGTGTGACTGCCTGTGCCCTGTATACTCGGTGCACCCTGTGCCGCTCGTGATCGTCTCTATTTATAGAGCATCACTCGCCCCCCGCATAAGCGAAAATGACAATGAAAATGTTTATTGATATTCATAATATGCATAGGCTAATTAAAAATAGAGCAACTCTCAGCAACAAATTGTGTATGCAAGCATTGTGCTAATGACACTTGTTTACTTGGGAATTAGGTGAATACACGCAGCAAGGGAAAGTGAATATATATCTATGTCATTCACGTATAGTTCGAGTTCAAATTTAAGCAACTAACATGTGTCATCCCAGCACAATACATGTAAACATGGACATTTACTAGTGCAACTTCAATTACATAACAGTCTCACTCTACTGCACTTTACATATAATTTAAGATCCTTCCAATTAGAACATAACATAACATAACAACATAACAAGCGTCATTCTAGCACAAGCTTCATATTCCAATTGACTAGCATGAGTTAAATCCTTCAATTACACTACAATTAATATTTGCATTCTCTTTTACTAATCGAAATTCACGCAACACCTTCAATTCACACAAGTATCATTCTATTACAATTCACATGCCCATTGGCGCATGCCACAAACAAAAATAAACAAGTGTCACACTGGCACAATTCTCATATTCCAATTGGCAATAAATAAATACTGCTCCCATTGGACAAACAAGGCGCCTAAAGTAACGCAAATAACTGTAAATGCAAAGGCATCCGCCAATACTAATTGGATTGCACGCGTTCAAATATTTTGTGGGATATTTTAAGTGTTTTAACTGCGTGAAATATGCATTAAAGCAGCTGGCCAAATTCCATTCAAATGACATTGAGTATATAAAAGAAATCTATGTATATACATACATGTATTATACTATTAACTTACAATTCGAGCACATTTCCATGGGTAGCGATGTTTCATTTCCCTGAAAGGCAAACGTAAAGTTTGTGTTAATAAATTTGAGTGAAACAATCAATTTGCCATTTGCATCTAATTATTGAAAATGCCATAAAAGCACTTTTCTCGAAGTTTTGTTATTTGGCAGAGTTTTTATTACCATTTTGTGTGTGTGTATGTGTTTCTGGCTTGCAAATGTAATTAGCTAAAACTGTATAAACACCAACAACAACTGCGCTAGACGACTTTTATTTTTCTTATTGGCAATTTATAAAAGATTTGCACTTTTTTGCTCGTTTTATTTGGCGACTGCGACACTTTTTTGTACACAATGGCGTCTGACCATTCGCAGGTAACGCGCACAGAAAGTCAGCTGTTTTTCTTTGGAGCAGAGTGATGAAAAAAACGCGTTCACCCTGTTGACTCCCACGCTTCGAACTGGTGAGCAATTCCCAATTGGACAGCAGCTCTGTTATCTAGCAGTCTGTTAAGTACATTAAGGCGTCTGAAGTAATCACTGTTAAGAGACTCAACAGTGTGAATTAACAGACTGAGAGATAGAGAGAGAGAGAGAAGTGCGTGTAATGGAAGAAGCAATAATGCGCTTTTAATATAATGACAGATGAGAATATATGAAAATATGTAACTAAGTAAATAGCATCAGCCCAACTAAAATCAAACAGAACTACATTACAATGTGAGCGAATACCGTAAGAAACGCAAATTGAGTAAGCTAACGCAAATTTGATCGAAAATTGCTGTAAAGGCCATTTTAACAGGCAGCGATAACTATTGCACATGTCTATCGAATTTAAATATGTTTGGCGCTTAAAATAAAGACCTTTTGTGATTTAGAGTTGTACAAAAAAAAAAAGCTGCTGCTGACACAAATACATACCTGAATACTAAGCAATATGCAATATGCTAATAATATGCACAATACAAATTTACCCTGTATTTGTTGTTCATTTACGACGTCTATGCATGACCCAATAAAAAGTGTGCAGCAAATGAAACCAGAAATATTCCATTTTTTGGAATCACTGAATAATTAGGAATTAGTTATCTATTCAGCTTCCGCTGACCTACAACAGCTGACAATTATAATCGGTTCGTAATGCCAACTGAACTGAGACCTTATGACGATCAAGTTGCCTCAAATTGGATTGCCCTTTGATAACTGCCATCGGCGGAAAGTGAAAACTCAACTGGCTGTCGGCTGGCCCACTGACAGGGGAATTGTGGCTAGTCACTTGTAGTGCTTCCAGCCCCGTCTCAGCCAAGAGAGATAGCATTTACTGTCTTCCCACATTATCATTATAGCTAACCGACTTGCCAACTGCCAGCCCATTTCGTTGCGAACGCGCCAAGCGTACGGTCGTCGCTACCAATAGAACCTACAGCACTACCCACCCATCCTACGTCGCCAGCAACCGCAACCGCGCAGTAGATATGTCACAGAGCACAACGAGCTACCTCTATGCGGATGGGAATGGAGCAACGGCGACGAGACGAAATGTAGCCATTGTGGGAGCCGGTCCGGTAAGTCAGTTTTATCTACTACATGTTGTTAGGGCCGGCGATTATCTGGTAGCCGTAATACGCATTTTTTTGACTGTCATAAAGCCATAAATGCCAGGCAAGTGAGACATAGATTAGAGCTAAGCATAAGTAACAAGTGGAGCAGACAGCATACAGACTTAAGTGGATAAAATATGCCCAAGTTTTTGCGCATCTGGATAAGTGCTTAGAATCTTAGGTTATAATACAACTAGAGGTTCAACAAAAATGGATCGTAGAATCATTTATATACATATATGTATATATGATATATACTTACACTAAACTTATCGATTATTATTGATTCCATATATCCTATCCATCAAACCTTCTATAGAGTATAAGATTATCCTACTATTTAGCATTTAATATATACATATATGTATATATAACACTCAATTAAATAGTAAAATTAATTTACATCTGGAAGCTTATACATGTTAGGAGTTTTATGGTAATTCATCATGAAATACGTATAACGGTATCTATCATATCTCCATTGTAAACGCCTCTAGTATTATGCAATACCATCATATTACAGCTACTACAAAGCATTAGAGTGTTTTATAGTTTATCTATTACCATTTATCTATTATTCATTCACCTGCCCAGGTGGGTTCATTGGCCGCTTTGAACTTTGCTCGCATGGGTCACGAGGTGCAGCTGTACGAGTACCGCGAGGACATTCGCAAGGCGCAGCTGGTGCAGGGGCGCAGCATCAATCTGGCGCTGTCGCAGCGCGGACGCAAGGCCTTGGCTGCCGTCGGCCTGGAGCAGCAGGTGCTTGCCACAGCGATACCCATGCGCGGCCGCATGCTGCACAGCGTGAAAGGACGCACCAGCATTGTGCTGTACGATCCGTGCAACAATCAGTGCCTGTACTCGGTGGGCCGGAAGCGACTGAACGAGCTGCTGCTGGATGCCTGCGATGCGTTTCCCAATATCCATTGCCATTTCGAGCATAAGCTGGTCAAGGCCAATATCAGGGAAGGCCGCTTGCAGTTCAGGCAGGGAAAGGAGAAGCAGAAGCCCAGGCAGAAGGAGCAGGAGCAGGAGCAGGAGCCGGCGCAGGAGCAGCTAATCTGCGCCAGCGCTGATTTGATTGTGGGCTGCGATGGCGCCTTCAGTGCGCTGCGGCAGCAGCTCGTGCGTCAGCCCGGCTTCAATTACTCGCAGGAGTACATCGGCACGGGCTACCTGGAGCTCTGCATACCGGCCAAGGACAATGAATTTCAGATGCCGCCCAATTACTTGCACATCTGGCCGCGAGATTCCTTCATGATGATCGCTCTGCCCAATCAGGATAAATCATTCACAGTTACGCTTTCGATGCCGTTCGAAGTGTTTGAGCAGCTGAAGACACAGCAACAGCTGCTGGACTTCTTTCGCACTCACTATGTGGACGCACTGCCTCTGATTGGCGAGCAGCAGCTGATCAAGGACTTCTTCAAGTCACGCCCACAGCACTTGATGTCCGTCAAGTGCAAGCCGTATCACTATATGGACAAGGCTCTGATCTTAGGCGATGCAGCGCATGCCATGGTGCCCTACTATGGCCAGGGCTTGAATGCGGGCATGGAGGATCTGACACTGCTCAACTCCATACTGAATCAGCAGCTTACGCTGGATGTGGCACTGGAAAAGTTTACGGAATCACGCTGGCGCGATGCCCATGCCATCTGTGATCTGGCCATGTATAACTATGTGGAGGTGTGCATGGCTACAGATTTCCACTTCACGTCCATTTATCTATCGATTCTATTTTTTATCCTCTACAGATGCGTGATCTAACCAAGCGCTGGTCGTTTCGCTGTCGCAAGTGGCTGGACACAACGCTGTTTCGTCTGTTTCCCAATCAGTGGGTGCCCCTCTACAATAGCGTCTCCTTCACCAGCATGCCCTACAGTCAGTGCATCGCGAATCGTCAGTGGCAGGATCAGTTGCTACGCAAAGTTCTGAATGGTACGATCGTGTTGAGCTCTTTAGTGGCCGTTGGCGCCATCTATGTGAGACGGTTTCGCTGAGTGTTTTAGATAATCAACTTTGGAATGTACATTTCTCTTGAATTATCTTTATTGTTTTTAAATTTATAAACATATTTCATTATCATAGATTTACGTTTTCTATTTGTTATAAATATATACATATATATACTGATTACATACTATTTTATTTTATAGTAGCCAATGAGTTGCTGGCGCCATCTATGCGCGATGTTTGATTTTCGCAAATAAAGCATTTCCTCTGCTCGCTGTGTTGCATGCTATTATTGCTTACGCTTTTGATCCCGTTAACTGCGCATGCCTAGAAATAGAGGGCATGCTGAGCGCAAGCGCAAGCTCTTTTGCCAAATTTAGTCAGTGCGCGTTCGTCCTGTGAGTCGCAAGTGGAATCCGTCGTGTTAATAACAAAAAGATTAAATAATTGGTCATAATAATCATACATGCACAAAATATACATATGTACATAGTAATCACATATGTATATAAATTACGTCCATTTGATTTTTGGCGTTGGGCTTTAACCCAAGTGTTTCAAGTATTTCCTCAACCATTGCTGCTACGTATTTCCTTTACGTAATTCTTTACGTGTTTTCTTACGTTTTCCTTTACGTAATTCGTCTACGTAATGCTTCCGTGTTTGAGGGCTTAGCTAAACGATCACACACTTCACTTCACTTCACTTGACTGCCTGGGCGACTGAAGAAATGCTGCAGCTGCTGCCCTTTATATAGGACGACTTTCACTCAAAGCCCAAGTCACACTCAAATGTTGAGCTAGGTGCCACTGAATGACCAATGGGAATATTCTCTGCTGCTGCAAGCATTTTTGCTTCGTTTTACTTAAATACAAATACCAAACTAATACTGCTGCATATACATACATAGACAACTTATATAATTTCCAGTACTTCTTCGTACCTTGCTTTTTTATGCAGGCAGACGCAGTGACAAATAGAGAGGGAGACAGCTAGGGAGACAACTCTCACACAGGCTAGATCTAGCCTGAAAAACGCTAAACTGGCAACACTGGTGCAAGCTGACAGCCTGCCGGCAAAAGAGAGCATGCATGCATGTGTTGTCTGTGAACATAGCCATAAGAGCGACTAAGTGAATGAGAAAGACAGTTATAATCTGTCTTTCTTGTACATATTAGCTATGTCTTATGCTAACTATAATATTAAACGGCGTATGTATGGAGGAAAGATTTCGGATAAAATTCCAATTGAAATTGTAGGTAATTTATTTTGGATTCTTTTCATTTTTGTTTATACAAAAAAAAAAAAAACATATTTCCTTACTATATTTAAATAGTTTTATGTACAATTTGAGAACAATAAATGGCTCGTATAAGTATAAATATACATATGTACATGTATCTATGTATGCATAAATATGTGTGTGGTTAAAATACTACGCATCGCCTTTGGCAATCTAGACATTGTATGTGCATATATTTGGTTTTTATTTATTTTTGTTTATTTTTGCTGCGTTTAAAAAGTCGATGGCATTGTGCAAAGCCAAAAATATGCCACGGTAGTGTACAATTGCATGAGCGACATACATACACAAGCACATTAATTTATAAATACATACATAAATGCATAGTTTTATTTGTACATATGTACATATATTCTATGCTTTTCTCGCATATCACGTGTAACATCGAATGTTTATGCGGGATATCAATGAAAGAAAAACGTATTTTGTTATGATTAACCTCACTTATTTGCTAACCAAATAGATACAAACAAAATCAATGTATATGTGTGAGTGCCATCACTGTAATTAAAAATGGCAGCACTGACACGCAAGGCCGACGCTTTCTCTTCACGCGCGCACGCTCACTCTCCCACTCTACTTCGCTCTTATTTCAATGTCGACGCCGGCCGGTGTTTCGTTATGACTCGCCATCAAAGATAACAACAACATTTCACATTGCACCAAATGCGTTGGCTGATCTTCAAGTTGAAAGCTCACTCTCCCTCTCTCTCTCTCTCTCTCTTTCACTTTTCGCTCACATAAAATGTACGCAGGGAGTAGCCAGCAGCGAGCGCCAACAACATGTTGCTTAGCGAAAAACTAGGCTTAAAAGTGAAAACACACCAAAGCAATCGACGCGCCAACCGACGACTGACCCAGTGCTGCCGACAGCGGCTGAGGCACAAGCAGAGAGTGCTGAGAGTATCAGTGAGAGCAGTACACACATTCTCTCGCAAAAAGACTCGACTAATTGTTGTTATTTAAATGTGAATGTTTAATCGTATACACAAACATATATATTTATATATAAGCGTATATATACATACAAACATGCTTATATAAATGTGCTCGCCACAAACACACACATACACACACACGGTTATTGTTGCTATATGCCGGCGGCGACTTATTTATTTGTGAACTTTTTCGCTGCTTACTTTTTATATTTCGTTTTCTTTTTTGCTTTTATTTCGATTCTTGACTCTCTAGAATTGTCGGCGTCGCACAGTGGTTTGAGTAGCGTGATTATCTTATCGACCAATCGAATTGACATCAGAGTGACTTTTGATTTTTTTCCCTTGTTTCGTTTGACGAAACGAAGTATGTATATATATAAATATATTTGTAAATACATTACTTTTATGTAACTTTTTACATACAGTATATTAATGACATAGCTGAAACGTGCACCACACAAGTACAGAGCTATTCACAGCTTGGTTGACCAATGGCATTTGCCTTTGGCCCACGGTGCACTGTCGCTGGCGACGACGCGTAGCTGCCGCGATTTGTACAAACATACGGTTTTGCTTAAGCAACGGCCATCAGTTGCTCGTCACATGTTCGACACTCAAGTAGAGACCAACAGCAAGCAGGTAACGGAAATTGTGCAGAAAATTGGACCAAACGACGACGATCAGTGCTGTGACACCACCCATTAACAACAACAACAACAGCAGCAGCAACAACGGTATTAAAGCAACAGTTCCCGCTCAATATAGTGCAAATTAAAAGTGGGAGATTCGAGAGATTTAACCGAAAGCGGCAAAAAGAAAAACTTGTGTGAGTGCTCCTCTCTCTCTCTCTCCCGAATATTGTATATTATAATCGAGCTGTTAACATTTCGAACCCAACTACTAGTTGCCAACGCGCTGTTGCCGCCCACAACATTCTCGAAACTTTCTGAGCAACGTGCTCTGACCACACGCTTTTCTGTGTTGTCTTCCTTCTGAGCGTTTGCCTGCCTGCCTGCCTGTGTGCGTGTGTGTGTTTATGTGTTATGTGTTGGGGGTAAAAGGAAAAGCCAAAAACGAATATAAGCAATTAGGGTTTTATTTGTCAGTCGACATTAGTGTAGTACAGTAAAAAGCAAGTGCAGTCATCTTGTCGGTTGTTGGCTTGCGCGCGGTTCACGTAATATTACAAACAAAATACAAATAAAACCATCGAACATCGTTTTTGAGCCAGCTGAATTGTTCCGTCACCTTTACACCGGGTCGTCGCTGCATTGCCTCCACGCTCTCTCCCTCAACATTTATCAGCATCTCTCTACAACATACAAATATTCCGCATCTCTGTCCCTCATATTCGCTGTCGCTGTCACTCTCACGTTTTCCGATCTGTATGTCGATATACGTTGATTCTTTTTGCTTGCTGATTTATTTTAATACAGTGGCTGTGCTGTGCTCTCTATTCAAATTCAACAAATAGAATAACTGAATGTGTGTGTGTGCGCGTCTGCTCTATATATACAATACAAATCAAATATACATACATACATTCACATTAGTGTTACATATACACGTGAGCCAAAACGAACAGAGACTGTAATCGTGTAACCGTAACCAATAACGTCACTCCAACTGTAACGGTCAACCAAGAGCATTCGCGCGACTCTCTTTGCACGACGAAGAAAAAGTAAACGGCAAATAAAGAAGCGCGGTCTAACGACTCGATCGTTACGTTGTAAACGCCATCTAACGTCATTTCGCGAACATTCGGTGTGCGTTGTCCTTGTTTAGTTGCGGTCGTAGTGCAAAAGTGATTCCTCTGCCTCCGTGTCGCACTCTCTCTATCTGTCTCTATCACGCGCATTCGTCTACGTGTCTCGCACTACACATCGCGATCTGCATCTTGAGAATTCGGATAAGAATTATTAAAGCACGACTTATCGCTCAATTCAGCAGGTAAATATTACAAAAGAAACCAACGAACTTTATCAAAATATCGTAACTAGCAAGATGTGTACTACGTGATCGCGCTGCAGATGACGCTGCCGGGTCTCGGGTTGCCAAAAAAAAAAAGCGCCCACCCCAACAAACGCACAAGCATTTGCATACTCCCTCTCTCTCTTCGGCTCTCTTGCTCGCTCTCTCTCTCTCTCGCTCTCTTTCTGTTAGAACACGTGTATCTCTTTCTCTTTCATTTCTGTCATTTCCGGCTTGGGCTGAAACAAAATTCACCTTCATTCCGTTTTTGGGAACTTGGCCCTGACGCATGTTTAAAGGCTTTCCTATATACATACTCTGGCATTTAAATCTTAGCTATATGAAATAGATATTTCATATAGCAGGCCAGAAATGCAAAGCACAAATTGTCTAACAATTTCAAATCGATGACAAAATATTCATTTCAGTAACTTTAAACAGCATGTAATCAAAAAATTTTTAAATTCCGTTCTGATTGAGGAGATTTCTTGGACAATCCCTGAAGCTGTTTAGCTTTTGTCAGCCATTAACAAATCGCCAAATGCGAATCATATGCTAACCAATAAGTGTCAGCATGAAGAGCTATTTAAGGTTCCAGTTATCCAACCAAGGAGATTAGAAAAATATTTCGAATATTCCGACAGTCTTCTATGAGGTAAAGTTTTGTCCCGCCGAGTTATATATTATATATCTTATGACTAATTTGTCTTTATAGTCCAATTATATTCCACTTTTCCATTCGTTTTTTTCTGTTGATTATTTGTCAATGTTGAGTCACGTGGAATATGATGCGATTTGATATACCTAGAAGTTCTTTTTGCAATCATACCAGTAATTAGTGTAAATAGGGCCTTAAGCTCTTCCATCCGTACATCCGTTTATCTATGTATATCTTGGGATTCCCAGCTAACAATCTTGCACTTTATGGCATAAAAATCCCCAATTCTTAGACGGCAAACTAATTAAGCGCTTTACCCAAAGCCCGTAATAAAAGCAATTGCGAATAGCACACACCCACACACGCACACACACACACACGTTTGGGAATGCAAAAACATTGCGATATATACGCGCAAGCCTACCTACATATGTACATACATAAATACATATCAATATGTATCTGAAAAAAAAACTTACATCATCTTTTGGGCCACAGAGCGGCAGAGGCACAGACTAAGCGAGAGAGGGAGAGAGAGACAGAGTAAGAGAGTGAGTGAGAGTGAACGAGGGGAGAGAGTAAAAGAACGCCAAAAATGGCAAGCCAATTGTTGTTATTCTTGTCGAAAGTAATAGAAATTGCGCGTTGGAATTGGAAATGACGCCAACAACAACAATAACAACAACAATAATGGCAGCAGCAAAACAATCGAAAACAAAACAACAAAAACTAAGCGTAAATATGCCGCGCACTTTGCTTAACTTCTTTACAACAACAAAGTCGACCCCACACACACACACGCACACACACACAGTAAAACTTAAGACGAGTGCACAGCAAATGTGATAAACAGCGGCAACAAGGTTACTAGGAGAATATGCTAAAATATACATACATACATATATAAGACAATAGTTAATTGTTTTTATAATTTCTCTCTTTTTTTCACTCTTTCACCCATTGGTAGCATTAAATAGGGCAAACATTTAGAACAGAGGACGCAGTGAGAGAAAAAAAGGCGCATTCACGAAATACATCGTCCGTCAGAGCCAGTGAAAGAAAAAAAAAAACACCGAGCTACAATAACAACAATAACAAATACAGCAAGTGCGACCACCAAACAACAACAACTGAAACAACAACAACGAGGCGCAATTTAATGAATTTTGTGATTATAAATATTGCAAAGGTACAACAAAAGCTCATTTAATAAAAAATCGCGGCGTCGAGCACAACGCCGATTTCAACAAAAGTAAAAATCAAATAAAAACAAAAACAACTCGGCGAAAGAAGAAAACAAATAAAAATAGAAAGCAAAAAAATCAAACGCACAATTGCAATAACAACAAAACGTGGCAATAACTAAACCAGAAAGCTTTGGCAAGTTAGAAACAATAACAAACAACAACAACAAGCCGAGCAAGCCCGCGAGAGAGTGCAAAGTGTTCGAACAGTGTGAGTGCGTGCGTGCGTTGATGTTTGTGTGTGTGCATGCGCGTTTGTGTGCGTGCCCAAGTGCTTGAGTAACAGCGAACGCGAGAGAGCGCAAAAGAGCGAGCTTAAGCTTAAGAGAGCGCCGAAGCAAAAGCAACAGTAATTCTACAGCTCGTGAAGCGAAATAGCGACCAAAGCCAATTGCGCATAGAACAAGCACAGAGGCACATTTAGTAGCAGCGCAAAACCAAAAAAAAAAAAAAAAAAAAAAAAAAAAAAAAACGCCACAAAAATACAAGAAAATTACAAAAAAATTAAATTTATTAATACAAGTGGAAAATCAGAATAAAATATAAAATCCATAAAAACGGCTGGACAAGTTTTAAGTGCAACGACAACGTTACCGTTGTGAAAATGGTAAACAAAGCCCAAGGGAAACAGGCGAAGGCGGAAAAGGACAAACTAGCGACACAGCAACAGGAGAGGTCGCAACAGCAACAGGTGCTACAAATTAACAAACCAAATAACAACAACAACAGCAAAGACAACAACAACGATAGCAATGGCAATGGCAACGGCAACGGCAACGGTAACGGCGGCAATCAACTGAAAGCCAGCGAAAAGACTAAAAATGCAAATAATAAATGTAACAACCAAGCAACGCGTGCCAAGGCGGGCAACAACAAAGCACAGCAGCAACAACAACAGCACAACCAACAGCAACATCAACAGCAGCAACAGCGCAGCAGCAAAAAGTCACGTCGACAGCGACAGCAGCTATTCTTTCAGCCACTATCGCGTAGTAGCGGCAGCCAGCAACAATTGCAGCTAAATAGCCACAGCTACAGCAGCAGCAGCAGCAGCAGCAACAAATGTAGCAACACATCAATAACAGTGGCTGCAACAGCAACAGCTGCAACAGCAGCAACAACAACAGCGCTTGTTACCAAAGTTAGCTCCAATGATTTGTTAACATCGGCCTTGACCGTGCCCTGTGCCAAATGCTCGAAGCCAGCTATGCTGCCTGGCCTGCTGCCCTCATCCGCCTCCACCAGCAGCGCCAGCTCGGAGGCCAGCAGCAGCAGCTACAGCAGCATCAGCAGCGCCAGCAGCAGCAGCAGCAGCAGCAGCAGCAGCAGCAGCAGCGAGCTGCAACAGCAGCAGGAGTCACAGCAGCCACAGCCGCTGCAGTCACTGCAGCTGGAGACGGCTATCGTTTATACAGGCAAACAATATCGTAAATCCAAATCATATATGGGCGTCTCTCAATATACAACGAAAGCAGCAGCTAGCAACAGCAACAGCAACAGCAGCAGCAGCAACAGCAGCAGCAATAATAATGGCAGCAATAATGTGCCCTATAGACGTTCGCAAAGCGATCGACGTAATTCATTTGATCGCACCTTTGCGGAACGTAATCGAGATTTTGTGCCTATTGTCCAGCCGTTGCGTCCCGTTCTCTCCTCATCGAACATCGCAGGTGTTATAGCCAGTGCCAGCAAATTGACCATCATAGAACGTTTCGGCAAAGCACGCATCGCCTATCCCATAATGCAGGTGAGTCGCAACGATCTATAAATATAATATACATACATATATATATATATATATATATATATATATATCATATATAAGATATATTATATAAATTAACTTACTAATTGAGATTAGAATTCTTGAAACTTGTTTTGATTCACATTCTTGATATTTATTGGCCATAAACTTGTTTGGCTGATCACATTTTAAGGCAATTTTTAATTAAGGCATTTATTTGGGAATGAGAAAGTTTAAGTGATTCCTAACTTGCGTATCATCATACAAAGTGTTATATATAACAAATTCTGACTATAAATCTATTAGATTAGACTATAAATCTATTATTTCTCATGATGAATACTTAACATTTATAATAATAAACTATAGCTATAGTGCTATAAAATGCTTTGAACTGTTATAAACTGTTATAAACTAATAGAGTATGCAATCAGATTTCATCTCATATCATTTCATATATATTAAATAGAATTTTATATATGTATAAGGATTGTTAAGACTTTTAGTTCACGAAGCTTTCTAATTTTCAAGAGAACTGTTCTAAAGTGCTGTTATAAACTGTTCTACTTCAAGTTGAACAGTGCTGTTCCCAATCAATAAGCAATCCTCTTCCACTTATAACTCTAGCAATTTCTCTAAGTAGAAATTGATATATTTCATTCTAAGAAAAGTTTCCAGTCATGCCATAATTTCTATTTATAGATTAGATACCAACAAAAAATGAAGTTTGTATAACTCGCGCCTTGATAACTCTTTCCATAAAACATTTGTTGTTTTCTGTTTTTTTCTTATTATCTATACGTCTGTTATACGCAGATCCATAAAATGATATGGCATAACTGATCTATGTTGATAAAGATTTTGCATTGACAAAGCTTTATGTTAAAAACGTGATGCATAACTTTAACCATATAGACTGCGTAATCTTTAGTAACTTTCCACTTATATCATTGTTGTTGTTGTTGTTATTGTCACATAAAGATTCGAGAAGTTCGTTTCTAATCAGCGCTACCTAAGGAAGCAGTTCTAATTAATGGCGGAAAGGCAATTGGATGATAAGACAAACAAAAAGGTGCTGAGAGAGAGAGAGAGGGTGTGGCAGAGAGAGAGAGAGAGAGAGAGAGAGTGCTGCTGTCTTTGATTAGTCATCTCAATATGCATCACAGAATCAAATGAAATTACCTCTATATTAGCTAATAGCTACATATAGCACACAGAGCTTAGCCAATTCAAGTTGTTTCTAGTATTTACAGATTTTTTTTTTTTTTTTTTTTGCAATTTACTGGGAATTTATATATATTACAAAGCTTGTTTATTTGCACGGGATTGCTTAAGTTGGTTAAGGCATTCCTTATCAATGCACATTTTGTGTTGTACATATAAATTTTCACCGGGCTAAAGACGAACCCACTTGGTGGGTGTTGTGTATTCAGTAAATTACGTATACGACATGTTCAACACATTTGCATTCAAATATTGTTTTACGCTACAAAGTGGGCATTGCAGTGTTGAAAATATATAGATATATATCAATATAGATAATATGTAGTGCATCAGCATTAGAACTGCCTTTATTTGATCATAATCTATGTGAACTCAGCTCTGACTGTAGCTATATATTAGATATTTTGCATGGATGTCGCTTTTTGTCTACAGCAATATCATATCAGAGTGCTATACATATTAGTTGACTATATTATATATGTAGCTGTCATATAACTAAACTTCACTTAAATGAACTTAATTTCTTATCAACGTCTAACCACTACTATTGACAGCCATCATAGTTATATTTCATTTATTGACGAAATGCAATCTGAATTTCGACTAAACTTCAATATATATTACGATCATTAATCATTTCATTTCGTATAGAGCTCTTTAGCTATATATAGAAATGTTGAAGCTTTTGAGTTTCTTATCAAAGTCGGACAGCTAAATCTAAAAGATATATTATTCCTATATTAAAGTTCTATAAATTTAAAGATCATTCAGAACTCTCTCCTTTTTCGACTTTGGCTAATATTCTATATGCGAGTTCAATAAGATCAGTTGAGATCATAGAGCTGACATAAACCTCTTTTCGTAGTCGGATCTCTGCTTCTAACTGCATATTCTTATATATTATATGCACACATTATTCCCAAGGGTATCTAAACTTCGCCTAAGCACATCTTGTCTCGCTTTGTTTTGTTTTGGTCTTTCATCTAACATTTTGTGTGCCGATTTTGACAGAGCTGCTTTATTGGATTGATAGATATTTTCTTTAATGCGGAAATTGCAAAGCCTTGGAATATATTTAAGAAATCGAAACAACAGACATGTGTCTATATGAGAAAACAAAATAGATATCGAAATACAAATATATATGTATATTTAAATAAAATAAGAAATTAAAACAATATAATAAAAGCTCAATAAAATATTTGATTTATGTTAATTTTTGTCTAGCTTCTACATCTGCATATGTGGAAAAAATAGCATCGCCCAATATATTTTTGATATAGTAGTAGTAGTATATGATCTTAAGCTATTTCTACTGCTGCTACTTCTATTTCTTCTTCTTCTTCATCGTCTTGTCGATTGATTAGCATGTGCGTCAGTCTTAGTTGTTGTTGCTTAGTTTGTTTGATTACCTTTAAAGACATACCGAAAACTAGTTCTAAATGTATGCGAAAAGGGAAACTTGTTTTACCACTTGGGATGAAGATCGAGAGTAGAAAACACAATGAAAAAAAAAAAAAAAAAACACCAAAAATTTACCAAAATGCAAATAAATTTTTTGGTCTCTTTGCTTTTGTTTAAACAATTGACAGCGCCGTGTCAATAGTCACGAATTAAGCAACATAGTTTAAACAACTGTCGCAAGCACCTGAAAGCTAAATAAAAGCTAACCTTCACCATACAAATTCTATCCAAACAATCTTAACACACATTGTGAAGCAAGTGCTCCAACTATTAATATTATTATTACCATTATTTTTTTTTAAATAAGCTGAACCAATTGCAAATGTGTCAAGAGTGAGTGAGTGAGAGAGACAGAGACAATAGAAGTTTTTTTTTTTTTTTTGTATAAATATAG